TGGGGGTAGGGGCAGAGGGCGAGAATCTTCAAGCAGACTCCCCGCTGAACCTGGGGAGGGAAACAGGCTCGATCTCATGACCCATGAGATCATGACCTGAGCCAAAACCAAGAGTCGGACACTTAACCAACCGAGCCACCCAGGCGCCCCATAAGGTCAACTGATTATAAATGTTAATCACATCTTAAAAAATACCTCCGCAGCAACATCTTGTCTGGGTACCCCGGCCCGGCCAAGCTGACGCATAAAATTAACCATCACACTAGCCAAAAGTCAAACATCTTCGGAGTAGAAAAATTTATTATTGACCTCAGTGTTGAATAGAATGCAGGGAAGTCAAGACATTCTGGGTTTTGTTGTTTTGTTTTAGTTTTAGGCTGAAAGTGCCAGTATTTGACCATTTTTGATATCCAAAAACCGGGTAACTGGGTATGGTTCAATACAATATTTAGGCTTTCCAGCAGTTGCAATGATGCTGTCCCCATCACGCGGATGCCTAATCAGAAAACAACCTTCTCTTTATAAAGCTGATTTCTTTGGAATACCCCTAGGACTTAGCACAAAGTGATGCGCTTTGCTGAAGAAATGTCTGATTAAGGAAAAGTGACAGCAAAACTCAAGCTATCTATAATCAGACTTGAAATTCCGTCTCCCCTCAATGGTAAACCACTGGTTTGAACTTTTTCATTTAACAGTGACACAAAAGAAAAATGCACAAACTGCATTTCGAATTACTTTTCCATAAGGGAGATTATACCTTAAGTGAATGCATCCCAAACACACTTTTTCGAAGTATTGTAATTAAGAAAAGCATCATATTTTGATAAACAGTCCTTGAAATACTTCATAAGCATGAATTTAAATAAAGATGTATTTAGTGTTAACGTTAAGAATTAACAAAGGCATGCTTTTCGATTTTCTGGAAGCAAGCAGGTGAAAAGAGGGACTGCCGACACTGCAAATCGCTGTTCAGTTTCTTTCTCTCTCTGAAAGTGGGAGAGCCTTAAAACAGGAAAGCCAAAGGTAAAGAGGGGATTTTCCTATCGCCCTGAAAAAGGTGCTGTGAGATACATAAAACATGTTTTCTACAACTGATTCCTGCTCAGATTATTAACTGAATCCTCAAATAATGTTGCTCTCCGCATTGCTGTTTCACTGATGGAGTTTTAGACGAAGTGGTGTGTGTGTTTTGGTCCAGATAGCTGTCAAGGGAGGGTTTTCAGCAAAATTTTAGACAAAGAGCCTAAAGGAAACTTCTGAAAGGATAATTGATAGCACCGGCAGACAGCAAGTGTTAAAGAAATGCTTAATGCCAATCTTATCTCACACGAACAAGAGACGTTATTGTTTATACATTCTAATCGCCTTTTTGGAATTTTTTTTTGGATGCTCACCTGGCTTAGTTTTGATGCAGGATTGTTCAGCTTTTTTTTTTTTTTTAATTTATTTACAGTTTCTATCCTTCCTTTAAAGGTACAAAAGTTTTAAAACAAAACAAAAGAAACCCCGGAACTTTACATTTTGTTTCAACAACAAAGTATTGTCCTTGAGTCCGCTATTAGAATCGTGTATTTACCCAATGAGAAGATATTTAAAATTCAAAGTGAAAAGAAAAAGTTATACCAAATAGAAATGTATCATCTATTAAAATTTCAGGAAGATCTACATTATCTAAAGCCATTCTATAATTTTATTCATATATTTTGTGGAGTTCACATATCTTTTTCTTACAGCAAACATAACACTGTAGGCCACAAGAAGCTGCAGTACTATTGTTTCATTAGCAGCAAATTAATATTTTATATCTGGGTAACTGGACAATAAATAGCCTGCTTCTTTGGATGTGGATGTTTAAAATGTAGTATCACTGCAGCTTCATAATGTGATTGCTATTTTACAGAGCTTATACACACACAAAAAATATGATCTTTGTCTATATTTTATACAAATACAACAGTAGTTTGTGAATACATTTTAAGTACATGATATACATGATAAGCCACTTGATTTCCCAATATCACAGAATAGCGATTTTAAATGCAATAAAAATATACAAAATTCAGCCTGGAATGCAGATTTTTCTTTTCTATTTTGACTCAAAACTTTATCATTAGAACATTTTTAGAGTACTAGTCCAAACACTTTTTCGTCAGCTAAGAATACAATTTCAGCAGTCCAGCTTATGTTCAGGCATGATGCAATCCATTTCCTAATGGATTCCCAGTTTTTGTTAAATTCAAAGGGCTGTTAGTAACATACAGCATGTTCTTCACTCCACACCATATTATAAAGCCCACTTTTCATTCTGAGTTATAGTCACCTTGTGGACAAAAGCTGGGTTTGTTCTGATAACATTTGCACGTCCAAGATTTCCTTTTGCAAGTGCACGTGAATACATTGTGGTGGGTGGTGTAAAAGTCTGTTAATGACAGATTAAGTCACAGTATAAAAATATATTGAACACCTTTACGCCTAATGGAGTCCTTTTTATCCTATGGCTAAAAAAATATGACTGAACGAGACAGAGACGTTTGTAGCACCATGAAGAGTTGTATCCCAAGTTACATTAGCAGCATGATCCAACATAATATTGAAGGAGTGTTTCTGAGAAGATAAACATTCATTCTGGTTCATCTGTACCACTGAAGCTTATACAAGGAAGTGTTTTATACATTAGCAATAGTTCTGTCATTTCTAGAGCTAGATAAACTTCGCAAAAGACACTGCCTTTCCATCCTCAAAGGGTTGATAACGGAGAAGGGCCTAAGGGTGATGATCTAAGTGTGCCTTTACCAACGTGGGCAGTTTGTTTTATGTGATCCAAAAGGCGCTCCGTATGGGTTTCTAGCACAAAACTACACAAGGCGACTTATGTGGATCTATGGAATCATGACAGACTTTGTTGTAGACACGGCTGCTGACACAGTGTGAGAAAAAGAAGACCAAGTCAACTTAGGCACTATTTGTCAGAGATAACAGTCCACTATTGCTAATGAAGAATACTCGACATTTAAAAGACCTCCTCCAATGTCACATGGATCTCAGTAGGCTAGAAGCAACTTGGGCGAACTGGTATTTTTTAATTTACATACTGGGAAGACAGTGTGTTTTGAAACACGTAAACCTTGTAAAAAAATAAACCATTGTAAAACCTTATGAAAAGACACACACTGATTCTGTGCAATATAGCAAATTGATAAGAAAACACTGTTAAAATGTACCTGTTTAAAATACCATCTACCATTTTTGAACACAAAGCATTATATATCAAAGGCCTACATATATATCTAATGGCACTTGAAACAAATTATAATAAGTCTTAAAATAAAAGGCATAACCTATAAGAAAGTTTCTGTAAAGGTTTAGATTCGTTTTGAAAGTGCTATATCTTGTAATATGTGTAGTATAGAGGTTGACCAAGCTCTATTTTTTAAAAAAATATTGGCCTATATATGTGTATTGCTTACTAGATGAATGATCCTGAAATATGTACTCTTTAACATTCATTATTAGCTTAATAAAGCAATCAGCTCTGGCTCATGTTTCAGTCAGTATATGGTTTTTAAAAACCGCTACTGTCCAAATTAACACAATATATCACTATATTCCACAAATGACTAAGAATAATAAAGCACAAGCAACAAATAGGCAAAAATACATAGCTTGGAAGAAACACTAAGTGAAATTAAAAAGTTGCACAAAGAGTGGTGTGTGATCAGCCAGGACAACTGAAGTTTCTGAAAACTGCACTTGGTAATAGGATTTTAAAATGTGAATTTTAACAGTGACCAATAACTATAAAGATGGTATTTGCATACATCAGTGGATAATATTGCTTACAGTGCTGAGACCCTTCCACACTCATGCTTTTGTGTCTGGTGATTGAATTTGTACACACGTGTGGAAGTTCAAACTGAATGAGGTTCAATATCTTGTCTGAGGTCCAAATTCTAAACTGAAATATTTTTACTTAATGATAATCCCTTTTTTTTAAAAAAAACAAGCAAAGGCACTACTAGAAATTTCAAGGATGATGATTCTGGCCACGGGGAGAATGAAAACAGCATTGGCAATAATTATTTTTAATCACACCCAGTTGATGTAAAAACAAATGTCAATTTTTTTCTAGAAAAAAAGAGCCAGTTCTGCGTTACATCCTTGTTAGACCATTGTGCAATTAAGATAAATGAATCTGCCTCATGTTTAACAGAAATTCTCTCAAAAAGGGTTTGGTGACCAGTAGAGTCAATCTGAAAAACACACGAGCTGAATTCCCTCTTCCTTGGAAGTATTATTTCAAGTCTATGAGGCGGCAACAGGCCGAGAGGTGTTCACATGAAAATTAAGACTCTACAGTTTTAACCCTGGTGCCCTGAAAGATGTGCCTCCATGTATCTGAATTCCATGCAGGGCGAGAATCGGGCTAAAAAATATATATACATATATGGCACCATTCCCCATTTCCAAAATGCTTTATTGAGTAAATCCTGGTACTCCCTTTTTAATTGTTTATTAGCAGTGAGATACAGCCTGTTAAGGCTGACGTCTCAGGTCATTGACTTGACTTCTCCTTAAGCAAATTTTAGACAAAGTAAAGTAGTGCTTCTACACTTGTATTTGTGACGGCTGAGTAAAAATAGGTTTTCTATTTATTTGTGCTCTGTCACCAATTTCTTTTTCCTTTTTTTTTAATGGCAATTAAAGCAATATTGAACACTAATCATTCAACTAATGATTTAAGTAAGCAATCTGTTTCATAGAAACTAAAGGAAGCAGTAATAAAGCAGAGCTAAAAGCCTACTTTCAGAGCAAATATTCTCCTAATCAAAAGCTTAGGAGCAGTTTGAAAAATTTTAAATGTATTTCCTTATTAAAACATATATAATTTTAATGCCTTTGGAACACACTTTTTTTTATAAAATGTAATTTTTTATAATAAAATTTAAATACATAAGTATAAAAACTACTGCTCCTAGAATTTAAAAAAAAATAGGAGCATGATAAAATATCAGGAGCCAAAGCTCCCTTAAGAGAGCAACTCTGATTCTATGAAGTGCGATATATGTGTGTATGTGTGTGTGTATGTATGTGTGTGTGTGTATAATATATATAGTGAAACCCCCATTTACATTATTACAATTTACATTTCTCCACAAATTATACTACTCCCAAATATTTTAAATAATGTATTATATTCAGTAATCTGCACTCATTTTTAAGAAATTCTTGGTAAACATCGCAATCTGCAGTGATAATTGGCCCTATAAATGAAAAAACAAGCTTCTGTATAGGGCTAATGAGTGCTCAGAAAATATTTTTCTTTTTCTTTTTTTTTTTTTTAAAGAGATATATACTCTTCTATAAACCTTCCCCTTCATACCCACCCCAAAAGACAGGGTCCCAAAATAAGGTGTTAACAAGTGCTTAATAGATATGTTTCGGAGGCTGATGTCCCAACCAATATTTAGAAAAGTATAAACTGACCTTCAAAAAGGTTATGGTGGTTGTCTAATCTGAGGAAAGCCCACAGTAACTATTTTATTCAGTCAACACAATATTCTTGATTGTTACTTTCCCATTAACTAAGACAGTGCTTGTTTTGCTTTAGATTCCCGCCCCACTACAAATTCAACTGATTTGCAACTCTCCCCCGATTTCCCAGAGACGTGTAAAAGGGGTTTTACTGTATATATTTTTAGTCGCTTAAAACCTTGTGGTCATTCCTCAAATAGTTTTCTAATGCATTTAATTTTAAAGTCTCCATCCGAAGATAGCAAGGAAAGATAAATCAACACGGAGTAAGAAAGATACCATGGGGGTAGGGCTGTTGTTTTGTTTTCTGCTTGGGGCTCTTATGGGAGAGAAAACTGTATTAAGTTCACAAGAAGTGATGTGAGCGATATGCTTTTCCTTTACTCCTGAAGAGTCTAGTTTCCAACCCTGGCAACAAGGGCCAGGATCCCTAGACCAGTTGCCAAGCTGAACCAAGTGCTTCATACATCTATCTTTCTTCTTAGGAGACTATCCCGCCACAGAAGAAGAGACAGTCCACTCTGGGATAAACACCCCTGACATCTGTGGTTCCACAGTGGCTCTCGATTCTGGACTAACTGTGGACTGACAATTAAAATAGAATTGCTGGCTGCACTTAACCCACCCTTTGGCCGTGAAAGATGAAAGAGATCTAGCCATACGTCGACTCTGAAGACTCCGATGCCGTAACATGATGAGAACTATTAAATGGGAAAGAGAGCAACTTTGCAACGTGGCAAAATATCCTGCATACGAGTTTTAGGCCAACTACTGAGCAACATGGAATGCCGCGTCACCTCACCAGGAGTCTCTTTTTGCTATAAATACTGGTGCTTTGTGTTTAGGTTTTGTTTTCCTTATATGTGCATAATATAGACGGCAAATATTTGAGCCAGACAATAGCAAAATCTTCAAAATATACTGACCTGAAATTACAGTATATCTAAGAAACATCTATTATCTCCCCAAACTGGATTCTGAATTCATCTGAGAACATTTGCTTATGAATCCATTTAGAGACTAGTAAAAATTTAAAAACTCAGGTTATTCATATACATTTTAGAAAATGTACATTCTATTGCAAAAATCTTTAATGAGCCAAATGTCAAAAGGTAGAGCCACTGTTATTGGACAGAACTGAAAATTTTAAGATCTCAAAGCGATTTAAACGTGGGACTCGTAAGACTTTACTGCTAATAATGGCTTTCCTAGAGGAAAAATCATCTTAATATACGACAATTGGCAGTGAGTGTGGACAAAATACCCAGGTAAACATAACTGAACGCAAATGGTTCCAAAGCTCATGTATAAAGCCTGTTTCTATTTCATACTGGCTTAATGAAAATTGGTACTGTACAAAAGCAGAAGTTTTTATGCTGTTTTAAAGTAGGCACTAAAATAAAAATGGTCATCTAAGGCAGGGCTACACGTAGGTTTCTGTAATCAGTCCACGTCTTGGACTCCTACTGAAAAGCTTGATGGAAACGTGGCAGTGTGGTGCTCGTGCTGAAGCTACTGGTGAACGCTGCTGACAGGGAGTGCAGGGAGCCGAGCCCTAGAGTGTTTGCAGGATCCTGAAGATCCTGTGTCTGGGGGGGCAGCTGAGACACAGAAGAATGAGCTTCTTCTTGGGAATAGCTCATTCCAAGGCTCCCCACTGAGATAGGATTATAGGGAGGGCCATTGAGGGGTATGAAATTAAACAACTGGGAAAAATCCAAGGCGGGCGTGTTTAGGGGGTCACTGATAGAAATAGAGCTTTTTGACAGGGAGAGGTCCCCTGCACCATCATCGAGGGACCCGACCTGAGGATCCAACCCTAGTTTAGATGATGATGCTTGGGAATCCTGGGATGAGGAGGGCACGCCACCTTGCAGCTCCATCAGATAACTCTCAATCTCCCCCTTTAGTGGCTGTTCTTTTTCAGGAATAGAAATGGCATATGAGGTAGAACTGAATGGGTATTTGAAAGAAAGGTGGTGAGAAGGATGGACAGCGTCCATATCTATTGGGCACGTCATTCCCAAAGGTAAAGTCGTGATCATTTGGTGGGCAGGTCCCGAGCTCTGCATGGACTGAAACGGAGTGTTATAGAGGTTTAACTGCAGAGTGTTTGTGAATGGCTTTGACAACAGTTCGCTGGAAGGTAAGGACATCACCGGCAGGAGCTCATCTTTTATAGGCACAGAAACGTTGCAGGTGAATGGATCCAGAAAGTCCACCGGTTCTGTTTTGACCTTCAGAAGTTCTTGATTGTGACTCTTCTTCATGTGTCGAGTCAGGTGATCCTTCCGCCCGAATCTCTGTGCACAGTACTGACAGAGGAAGTCCTTCCTTCCCGTGTGCACCACCATGTGTCTCCGGACGTCCTTCCGGGTGTAGAAGCGGCGATCGCAGTGCTCGCACTGGTGCTTTTTCTCTTTCACCCCGCCGGACGACTTGCCGGCGTGCGATTTAAGGTGCTCCAGCAGCACTCCCGTGCTCTCGAAAGTCTGCAGGCAGACCTTGCAGGTGAGGTCGCCGCTCGTCGCGGCATGCAAGGCCAGGTGACGCTTGAACCCGAGCTTGGTGTTGTAGTTCTTGCCACACTCTTCACACTTAAACGTCTCTTTGTTGGGGTCGTGCGTATGGAGGTGATTCTTCAGGTGATCTTTCCGGTGAAACATTTTCTCACAATAATTACACTTGTGGGTTTTCTCAGGAGAATGAGTAGCCATGTGCCTTGAAACACAGACATATTCTGTCAGTATCACGACACAAATGGCAGGGAGTCACTTTTCAAATGGAAGCTAAGCTGCTATGCTAACACAGAGGCTCCCTGCTAACGGACACGCTTTAACTGAACATGCGCTACGAGGACAGTCAATACCCCTCAGCGCTGCAGAGCTCGAGCCGCTGAAGTGGCCACTTCAGGATTCGCTGGTTCGTAGCTATTATTACAGCAGCCAATGAGCGAGACTCAACATACTCACGTAAACGTCCATACCCTCTCCTTGTACTCTCTTTGCACAAATGGAAATTCTACTCTCAGTAAGCATTTCATTAAAAAAAAAAAAAATCCAAAGACACTAAGACATCAAAGTATGTGACTTAGAATACTAAAGCTAGCCAACGTCTAATCTACGTTAACATTTCCTCTCTGCAAAGCAGCTCAAGAACGTGTATACAATCATATATACGTTTACAATGGCTTGACATGGGCCAACATAATAGAAAATATAATCTGAAAGACAAATAGAGTTTAATACCTTTGTAATTTGTACTTAGAAACAAAGGCCTTGGTGCAGTCTTGTTGTATGCACTTGTAGGGCCTCTCTCCTGTGTGAGAGTAGGAGTGAACCTTTAATTTCTCAACACTGTTAAAGGCCTTGTCACACAGTTGGCAAGGAAAGTTTTTTCTTGGTTTGGTTTCACCACGCTTACGTTTCCCTGAAGGGACTTTCTGGGTATCTCTTACTTCTGACAAATCACCAGGAATGACAGTGGCCATCGCAGCCTAAAGCAGGCCTTCTTGTTGGACACTTGGGAACTGCCCAACTCCACTAAATGATTTAGCTTTAGGTGGCTTCTCAAGTTTCATGTGGTCGTAAAAGAAAGCAAAAAGGGACTGGAAAAAAAAATAAGAAACAACTAGTTTGTAACTAAATTTAATTTTTTAAATTTTTATTTGCTATGTGATGCTTTTGAATTCAAAAAGAAACCATAAAATGGATTCAGCTGGTCTAATGTAATATCTGTAGGTTTCTTTACATTTGCCAAAATACACATTAACGCATTGCTCAGAATGAACAGTTCACACCCCCCCCAGAAATTCCACCTGACAAATGTTGTACTTAGGGAAAGCAGTAGTGATTTCAGGAACTCTCACGAAGCATCAAAACATGACACTCAAAGTAGCATTATGAAGCTTCAATTTTGACAAGGGATTAGACAACAGAAATCTGATTAAGAACAGAAAAATATTTCTGCAAATATCTTAAGGTCGAAAAAGCCTCTTAATTTGTGCAAGTCAACTCTAGTCAGACTCTGTGTTATAGACTGGAAACTCTTTTAGGCACGCTGTGAACCATTTGGTCCATGGAAAAAGTGCTTAATGCAGACACGGGAGGCCTGAAAGAGTTGAAGGCACCACCCAGAGTGGAAATTTGCTCTCAAAGCAGTGTCATCACACACAGAGGGATTTCCGAGTCAAGAGTGGAAATGACTTCTCTTCGTAACAAATATGCATTCTGGGAATGGTAACACCTTGTGAAGTTATTTGAGGTGAGGATCAGGGCTCCTTATCATTTGTGGGGGGGGAAAAGATTTGGTCGAGGTAATTTTCCTCACCTTTTTGCACATCACAGAAAATGATTCTGTTCATTGGGCACACTGAGGTTAGTGGATGAGCCAGAGTCCTCAGGCCTCCCCAAGAGCTGAGGGGATCAGTCTTTGGCACACCTGTAACCCGTGGGCAGTACACCAGTGCGACTTTTGGCTTGGAGCACAATACCTGTGCGAGGACACATCATTATGGAGGCATTTCAGGTAAAAGGTGTATCAGAGTTTCAATTCACTATGGGTGCTGTGAGGAAGAATGACATGTACAGATCGTACAGCAAAGATTATGTCTACTTAAACAAAAATGTTTAAATTGATTGGAACCTTTGGAAATTCATGGACAAGAGATAGTGAATATTATCAACTGTATTTCTCAGAGTAAGAAACCAACTCCCCAAAGATCCACCTGATATAAAAGAGTTAAAGGGGACTCGAGTTTCATGAGCGCCAGTCTGGAAATGTACTCTTAAGAGACACAGAAATGTCTCTTAAAAAAGATCTGCTTTTTGAAGTGAAAACTGCGCGTGGCTAAATGATGATTAATCAACTACGACTTAGTTGTATTTTTCATCCTATTATGTATTTAGAAACAAACGAAAACCAGTTTCTTTATAGCCCTTGTTTTGGCATCGGACTGGCCCTAGTTTGCCTTTACAAGCTAGGTATGTCTACGGAGTCCTGCAGATTCCAGTTATACTTTTGCAGGGGCCCTAAATTTAACCTAATTTCTGTAAGACTACATGTATATTACAGTAGATCCCGCTGTGCTTTAATGTAGAGGCTGTCACTAAACAGGCAAAATAGGGCAGTTATCCACTCACTTGATTAAAAAAAGGTAAGGCCTGTGGGCAAATTAACCAGTGTCTGCTTTGTGCACCCTTTCTTCCTCAGTAAGGAGACACCTTGACAAGGCCTTCCCTTCAAGCTGTGCAAACTGTCTAAATCTCCTCTGCAGTTTAAAAGTGACGTTAACACAGTTAACACAACTGACATTACTAATATGCTAACATAATATGCTCCCCTGGTTTTAGATTTCCTGAACTTCAGGGACTTGTTCTTTCCCTGCTACATTCCCATTCAAGAGCCAACTTCTCTAGCTCTCCCAGAACTATCTACACAGCTATTCTGCTGTGACCGGCAATGACACTGTAAATTGGTAGAAAGCACTCTGCCATGTTTGATTTCCTAACATGATGCTTTTATGCACCTATTTAGAGCACTGTGGGAAATAAGCTGATAAATTTGTCAACTGTAAAATCAACATGGAATGCCAAGTATCTAAGTCCCTGTATATAACTAGTATCTGAAAATATTTCAAAGACTGGTCATATTTGTTATTGTTGTGTTAAGAGTTCCAAGCATAAGGAGCAGAGAATTCCAGTTGAGAAAAAAATGATAACTTCTAAGTCAATGAAAAAAAGGTATTGAAAGTACACCATGAAACAATATACAAACATTTGATTATATTAAATTTGGTGATACTCAATAGGGAGTAACAAGTGAATTCTGTTATCTTTGCATGTACATACTGAGCAATGAAGAACTGTAGATTTCAAATATTACACTTTTCTAAGACCAGCTGAAATTTTTTCATGGCTAATAATATCTTTTCATCTCAACATATTACAAAACTCAAATTAGTTATAGGTGCATTTAAAACTACAGGATAATATAAGGTTGTGAGCTCAACATTGAATAAAAGTCCACATTCATAATATGCATATCAAATACTTTAAGGATACATGCATAGAACTGTAGTGATTCTTGTTCAATGCATACCTGATGACAGATGGAAAAAGCCTCAGACCTTGATCTTAGCCAGTCCCATTGACTCTTCGTGGAAGAGAGCGGAATCCAGTCCTTCCCATTTTGGCCGATCTGTGAAACAAAAAATAAGAATGGACTACACTCTAAATGGAATCCGTATGTAAATGATGGAAAATAAAGGATAAAAGAATTGCAATTTCATGGCACATGCTTACATTCCATACTCTGCTGACGAGTCATGCATTAATTTTCACCAGTTGCAAATTTTTATTAGTTCTAAGCACACTTACATGACCAAATAAATGCAGAAACAAAAAGTAAAGTAGTATTACCTATATAAATGGCATTTTGTGATGCTGAATGACTCCCCACTTCTTTCCCAAATTCAGTTTTTAATTTTTTTAAATCTAACTTGCCTACTGAGAGAAATGGATATTAGGGTTACTCTCTGTAAACCAAACTGATCAAAATTTCATTAAGCTTAATAATTTCATGGAAGAGACAAACTCCGTGCATCTGGAACCTCACCAAAGAAGAGCAGACTCCTGAAGAAAGCACCTCATCTGCCCACAGGGCACACACTTGTGCAAGGCGGGCCTCTCTGAGCTGCACTTTTGTTACCTGCAACACCTGCTGACTGCTAAAATGTAGCAATAACTCTGCACTCTTTAGATTTCAAAAGCGTGCAAGGGAAGTTAAATATGGGTTTGCTGCAGAGGTATCAGAAACAAGGCATCATTGGGTTTTAAAAGATCATTGTCGAAAAATCTTAAAATATCTGTAAAAAATGCCTATTGGCATGATCTTCAGTAAACTAAGAACATGCATAGAGAAAAAAATCTGTTAATAATTCTTGACTGCACAAGTAAATGTGAAAAGAATGGTCAAAAGGCAGAAAAAACAACCAGGATTATCTACTGTAGAGACTACAGGGCATAAAGAGATTAATAAGCTCTGAATATTTTAAAGATGAACGTTCAGAAATCGTGATTTTAAGAACATGAGGGGGATAATATAAATCAAACAAATGGGTTAAAATACAATAATAAAAGGATTCACCAATGACAAGCTAAATGGAAACAATTTTACGTAACGTTCCAAACAAAATCTAATTAATTTCTCCTGATATCAAATTTTCACATAGAATTTGGTGCATAAATAAAATATTTGCTAGAGAACATTCAAGCATCATTACAAAAATAATAAAGGTATATTTGAAAGCAGCATATTCTCATAGTTTAAAAAAACAAGAAAAATAAAAATTCAGACTAATAAAAGATATTTAAAAAGTTAAAGCAAAAGCTCCATTCTTTTGTAAAGCACAGGACATGCATAAACGGAAGAACTGAATTCCGCACATCAAAATTGCAAAATAATAAAATTAACTTTGTAAATACTTACTTGCCCAGGGCACATACTGAGGTTTTGGTAGGGTAGTTACGAACATGAAAGCCTGTTTTGTGTATTGTGTTATTTTAATAATATAAATACCTTGCAAGTGTAGAGTGTTTTCATCTCTATGACCTCTCTGGAAAATTCAATGGACCCGAGAGGTGGATGCATTTATTATCACTGCCATTTTAAGGTGAGAGGCTCATAGAAGCTGAATATCCTGACAGCATGTATGTGGTCAAGAAGGGGCATAAGCCTTAAAATTCCTTTTTCACTCTTATATGGCTGCATTCTAGGAGAAGGGTAGGTTGGCAAACCAATACGCAAGTGGATAAATCCCATTATTACATTTAAAAGACAAGAACAGGGAATAGTGCCTATTTTCTCTATCAGAGCTGCCAATATGACCCCCAAAAGGAAACAAATATAAGACTTTGCTTCTTTTAATAAAGTATTTCAATACAGTTTAAAATTTCTATCTTGATTTAAAATATTACTATAGTCTACAAATTACCCATTACATATTTTAGCCTGAAATAAAATAATAAAGCCATCATTTTCATTCATCTTATCACAAAACATAATTCCAAAGTCACAGTTAATTTCCCTAACTTCAATCTAACTATTTTGAGTTCTTATGAGTGACCCACTAATTTCAAAGGGCTGCTAATTATTTCCCCAAACAAAGGAAACCGGGAGCCAGTTAGAGTTCATTATTATTTGGCTTGATAAAATAAACACTGAAAAATATACCGTTTGCATTTATGTAATCCTAACTAAAATGTCAACTAAAATTATCTGTGTTCTTTTTTATAGCAATAAGAAAGACTTTTAAAAAGTATTGTAACTACTATTCTGAAAAGTCTACAACAAAATGTGTACTCCTGTCTTTCTTTTTTATGTGTCAAAGAGCGGTTATTATGCTTTTCAAAGGATTAAAATTCTTCTTTGCCTTGATCTAAGAATTGTGAAGCAATATACCCATATACCCATTTCAACTCGCCCTGAGAAAGTCACACTTCAGGATGCCCTTCCAGTTTTTGCTGGTACAAGAACACACATTTATTTTCTAGGGCAACTTTGCATACATAAAAACAGTAAGTAAAGGGAACATTGTGTGTGCGTGCACACACACATGTTCATTGTCCTATGTTTTACATTCTAAAACAGTGACTCACACAGAAACATAACCAGCAAAAATGAATCATACATCAGAGGGTCTACTAAAACAAATTCCTATGAGGATGCAGGCATAAGAACAGCCCTGTATTGGAAACTGTTTCTATCCTTGCCATTCCACAACTCTGACTGTCATTTGTCTAACAGCTGTGAATTTTTACAACACTTACCTGCATCAATAATTCTTTCATAATTAAGTTAAAAATCAAATATACACTTTGATGATTAAGGGCAAAGGCCATCGATAATCAAGCTTTATTTATGCTCCCATATGCTAATCATAAAACACCAGGAGTAAACAATGCAGAAAATGTCAACATTTGCTTAAAACATGTTTTTCGCATAAACAGGTAGCTTGCAAAAGGAAACTTAACAACAGTTAATATTTTAATTCACATGTACGAAACACAACAGAGCTTGGGATAATGTGAAAGAAATGAACAAGATAACATAACTGCGGACCAGTACTTGAAGTAAGGGCAACGGCATAGTTAGCACATTTTTTTGATCGTGAACGTTACGTGGATATTTTTACAGCATTCAATTTTTGTAGGTCTGTAAAGTCCCTTATTAATGGATAATAAAAGGAGAAGTATATCTTGCAAGACTATTACAAATAGACTGTAGGCGGCATTGGGGCGGAAGCTGTGTCAGTTTTATTTATTCACTGCTGTTTCCCATAAAAGTGTTTTTTTTTTTTTTTTTTTTTAATGAATGAAAATAATTAAAGCAGGGCAAGTGCTTTCCAGCATCAAAACGAACTATAGGTTTGCTCAATCACCGTAACAGACCTAGGACGTAGGACAGAATATACGTATCTATATTCAAGTAAAAAATAACACGGTATGGATACAATTTGGTCCAACAAACTAAGCCACGAGAAAGGTATTTTTGAAACTTACCGGCTATTTGTAAAGTCTTAGATTAAAACAACAGCAATTGCCGTAAAATCTAAAATATTTGTTTTGTTTCAGAAAACAAGCCTTCTCGGATTGATCCATTGCTAAGGAATCAGTTCACATAGGTAATATCAATCCAGTCCCCATTCCTAATAAAAATTGCTAAAGTGAAACCACGCCTGGTACCTGAACCCAGGCCTGGCACAGAGCAGGAAGGATGGCTGGATAGGTAGATGGTGAGATGGGGCTGCTGATGCCTCAAGAGGACAGAAAGAAGCAGGAGACAGGGCAAAGAGCTGGGATTGTGCCTGATCCACCCAAGTTGTCAGTAGGTACCTGATTAACACATTTTATACCCCCCAAACTGAAAACTACAGTGCTTGTTTTCCTATAGAAGTCACAGTTAACTAAAACTAGTAAAAATAAGGCTGCCTGTTTTGAATGACTATACTTGATGTTTTCAACTTCTGAGCAGGTCATTAAAATGTAGTTCTAGCACAACCCTTTTGAAACTTAGCATAAAATTTAGCCTTACTCATATGTAGAAAGCCTTATGTTTAATATACAAATAATAAAAGCCAACAGACAAGTGAAGAGAAAAAGGAGACCTATTTGTTTTTAAGAACCGACAGGAAAAAGTCAACGGATTCCAAAGTGGAACCAACAAATCTCAACATCAGTTCTCTGTACAATTAGGATGTTCCTTCTGGGCCACCTTGAACCCGGGTATGGCTGTTTTATTACATTTTCTAGGAGTATCCAGACAGAAGGGAGAGACCATCAGATTTTGTCTTCCAATTCTGAAATATTTTCATTGGTTATTTATTATATAGAACATAAATGTCAAGTTAAAGATTTTTTTCTTCTCTTTTAAAAGCTCTCTTTTAATGATCCATAACTTAAAAGTCAGCATTTCCTTTTAACAACTACATGGAGGATTCTTCCCCCTAAGGCTGTGTAATCTCATCAAAATAAAAAGCTAAAAAAATACACATGGGTGGTATACCAGGTAATTCCCTTTTGGTCACATAGGGCAATTTTAGTCAGTAAATTTGCAAAGAGGATGTGTGAGGGGAACTGTGCACAAAGGGAAGCAATGGTGCTTGGGAGAGAGCAAAGAATCAATGATATGTGAATACCAAGTAAGAATGCTTCATCAGAACTTTAACTGTTTTTAGAGGTTTTCCTGGCTTTGTTTTTTGGTATGAAACATTTCCCAAATATTGGTGCTCTGGCTAGGTATAAAGTAGGTGACTCACAGGTCAGCCCAATCTGAAAATTGCCTATTTCCCAAATTGTGAGGGGCTGTTTTTATGACCACTGACTTCTTATATTCCCGGGGCGACAACAAAAATGCCTGACATCAACTCTAAAAATATTCACATGGACGGACCCAAAACATCTGGAGAACATGCCTCCACTCATTTAGGGTTAACTGCCTGATACTCCTAATTTAGACAAACACAGCATCATCTAGGTTCCATGTTTGAACTCTCCAAGCACTCCTACTGCATCTGCCTTCAAATGCAAATCGGAAGGCAGAAACAGTAAATATTCAAACAAAAGTGATGAGGACAAGAAGTTTTATGTAGTTACAAAAGCTCATGCAGAGAATTAGTTTTAAGCCATCTCAAAGTAAAGCGCACTTGAAATATAGGCTAGTGTATATGGGTGTACGAGGAGTTATCAATGTTAAATGTGTGTGTGCGTGTGTGTGTGTGTGTGTGCAAAATCTTGAGCAGCATTAAACTGTATCATGGAAAAGAGCCCAATCCAGGGAAGGCTCTATTTGTGCCATTACTCGGTCCTTAAGTTATGCCCATGTGACTGTCCAGGTCACAACCACCTCTGGAAACAACCACCTCTATATATTCCTATACAGCTGAGTAAACA